AAAAGAGCACATAGCTAGGAAGAGCAAGTTGTGTCAAGGATCTTAAAACTTTAGTACTATAAGCATAGGAAGCTGAATTCTGAAAATCATGATTGAAAGCCTCATAGAAGATTGCAACCTCAGTTGACATCTTGATTTTATCTGATGAGACCCCCAGTAATTATTTCACTAACCTGTGGCCATACATATAAAACACATTTATTATAAATGATTGATAATGATTATTTAAAGATGCTCAAGTGTTGATAGTTTGTTATCCAGAAATGCAAAACTAATACATTTACCTATTAGATTTTATATTTTGACCAAGCCATGGTTTAAAAGAGAAAACAGATCTCTTTCTGAAGTACCTAGAACCCAGTGACCTCTGTCACGCTTTGCTTCTAAATTTATGTCTTACTGGACATGGTGGCATGTGCCTATAATCCCAGATGTTGGGAAGCTGTAAACAGGTGGATCACTCCAAGTCGGATTTAGTAGTGAGACCCTGAACACCCTATAGACCCTTCCCTAAAATACAAACATAAATAAATAAATAAGTAAAACAAATTTACATCATAAATTATAATTTTCTTTCTTTAGATGTCAAAAGTGAAACAGGTATGCTTATGGCACTATAGGATCATAGAGAGATATAATTTTTATTGAATGAGAACATTGCTGTAGTAAGATTGAACCTGATGAGTACTTGAATAAATATCCACAGAGCAGCATTTCTTAGAGAATTTAACACACACACACACACACACACACACACACACACACACACGAAAGTCACAATTAGGGACCCTTTAGGTGGCAGTGAGTTCACAATTGGCTGGCTGTTATCATGTAATATGTTTATGTTGGGTTGAGAAGCCAAGATCACATTTAAATCTATTTTGTTACAGACTAAAATCATTAAATCACATTTTTTGGATCTAAAATGTCTTCAAATGTTCCATGCATTCATAGACGTGACTTTGGGAAGAAAACTGGCTCATGGGGTGCTATAATGACCAATGTATTCATCCAATGATGATTTCACAGGCTGTGAGGATGGGGCCTAGTTCCAGGGCTGGCTTGCCCAGCTCAGGAGTGGGGTACATGTGTTGCTGTTCCCAGCACCATTTCTCTTCCTCCCTCTTTCTAGCTCCTGACTCCTCACAATGTGAGCTGACTCTTACCATCCTTTCCTTCTCCCTCATGATTTGTGCTGTTGATCTGCCAGTCAACTATAGTCTAAACCCTCTAATATTATGAGCCCACACAAACATGTTTATTAAGTTGTAAACTTTGAATACTTCAGTCTGTATTATTTCTATATCTTTGTATATTGTAATTAAAAATCCAAATATCAATATATGATCAGACCTATTATATTGGGTGTTCTAACTTTTAACATTTGACATTCTGTTTTTTTTTTTTTTTCTTTCATTTTTTAATGTATATGGTACAGGATCTCACTATGTAGCTTGGACTCATACTGATCCTCTTGTTTTTAGCCTCCCCTGTGCTCACATTACAAGTGTGTACCACCAGGCCTGGACTCAGTTGCCCGCTCAGCATCTCCTGGAGGCAGGGCCGGGGCTGCATGCAGAACCCTAGATGGAACCCCGGTCCCTGCGCTTGCCAAGGCAGGTGCTTAGTCCTCTAAACTATATCGCTGGCTATCATTCTAAATTAATTAATTTATTTATTTATTTAGGCCAAACTGGGGATTGAACTCAGGCCCTTGCGCTTGCCAGGCAAGCACTTATTCTACTGAGCTATCTCCCCGACTCCTAATTCTAACTTTAAATAACTAACCCAACAATAAAATATTGCTAAAGAATAGAATATATTGTTTTAGTCATATTGGGACTTCATACTACACTGTATGTCCAGCTTATTATTATGATCATCATTATTTTTGAGAAAACATTCATGAAGACACCAAGTTCCCCAGGTGGGGATCAAATATATGATTCACCTCCTTCCATGTCCCAAATTGCTGAGATTACAAGTTTATACCTGTTCATTTGTCCTCCAAATATTTTTCTTTTTTCCTTTTCATTTTATTTTATTGAAAAAATATTATTAAACAAAATTTCATAACAAAATGATAGATTAATAATATTTAATGCATTGCAAATTGCAATCTTTAAAGTAGTTATTCAGAGTATAACAGATGGACAATAAAATTTCTCTAATCAATGTCCACACAAACCTTTCTTTTTAATGATCTCAGAAACATAATATAACTAACTTGCATTTTTCTCTCTTTTTCTTTTTGTCCTTTACCCTTCCTCCATTCCAGATTCTCTTTTCTTTTGAACAATCTCTTCCTTTTTAAAATATCTATTGTACCTTATTTACTCTATTAGTTTCTCTCATCAGGAGACCATATGATGTTTACACATGTGAGTTTGATTTATTTCCCTTAAGAGTATGGTCTCAGGTTGCATCCATTTTTCTATAAAGTTTCAAGTTCTTTATAGCTAAGTAGTGCTCCATTGTATAAAAAAAATGTTTTATTCATTCTTCATTTGAAGGGCATTTGGGTTGTTTCCAAGATCTAGCTAGTATAAATTGTGCTGCTTTAAGCATAGGTGTACATGCATTGCTATAGTTTGATGTTTTTAATTATTCTGGAAAGATACTTAGAAGGAGAGTATCTGGCTCCAAGGAGAGCTGTTCTAGCTTTCTGAGTAAAAACCATACTGATTTCCATAGTGGTTGCACAAGTCTGCACTCCCACCAACATTGGAGAAGGGCTCATTTTTCCCACAATGCTTCCATTTCTTATTGGTTGATTTACTGACGTTAGCCATTCTTTTTTGGCTGAGACAGAATCTCATTGATGTTTCCCTTTGCATCTCATAAATGACCAGTGATGTTGATCATCATTACTTAAATTTTGAAATGTATGATGTATATTATATGACACATATATTCTTGTTTTAAACAGTTAAGATGGTGTTGAATACATTTGAGGAGAATGGACTCCCGGGTTCATGTAACTATTTTTTTTTTTCAGAACTGGGGATTGAACTCAGACCCTTGCACTTCCGAGGGAAGCGCTTATTCCACTGAGCCATCTCCCGGCCCCTCATGTAGCTATTATTGTAGCCCAAATCTACCTGCACCTATTTAATTCTGTGGTTTATGTGACATAGCATTCATATCAGAAGATCATCATATCATAGCCCTAAATAAAGGAGTGAAGTTGGAAAGGACCTTTGTTCACCTAAATCAGAAATATTAAAGCTACCAGTCGAAATACACTAAGTTTTTCTTTCTCTTACTTCATCTTAGATGTTTCCTACTTAAGTTTTGGGGCCTGGATCTGAATAGAATACTACACCTAAAAAAAGAATAACAATAAAAGAATTGCTACTCAGAGTGACATGATTGGTTGTGATTTATTTCTTTGAATTGAGCTTAACGTCACTGTGGACACTGTGGAACTTTATTTATCAAAAATTAAGAAATATTGGGTGGACAATTAACAATTGAGATGTATCCCTTTGCCAAAGAGGCATATACATATTACAATTCAGGCACACCATTTAGTTTTTGAAAAAAGAATTGGCCTCCAGTCACCTTTACTGTACAGATTTTTTGAAAAGTGGTGTTTTCAGAAATAGTTGCTTCTATTGGGGCAGATACCTCTCTGTGTAAAATACAGTGGGGAAAAAGCCAACTCTCTTCACAACACACACACACACACACACACACACACACACACACACACACTACCAGTATGTAATGATGGAGATGATAATTACCTAAACTTGTTCAAAATGGATCATTTGAGAAACATCTGGATTACATTTTAAATCCTGTTTTACAAAAATGTCAAAAATTAGTTGTTGAGGTAGAGGAGTTGCTTTCTTCATTTTGTCCTCTGAGAGGATCTTTCTTGTTTATTATCTCCTATGATTCCAGATGGGCTTGACCTGTTTTAGCGATGATTCATATTGTCCAGAATCCATTTTCTACTCCTGAAAATGTATGAGTTCAGAAGATCTTTTACAGTTAGTAGAGTCACAGAAAAATATCAACCTGTTCTCAAACTTTTTCTGTTTTTGCTTACCATTTATTTAGTCATAGAAATTCCTTGCAATATTTCGTTATCATTGTCTATAAGATTTCAGATATAACTTGACAACTTAGGGAAGTTAGTTTTGTTTTGTTCCTGGTTTTATTTTGTTATTATAATTACATTTGTATGCACTCTGCTGTTTTATTAGCTTTAGTTTAACTCGGTATTTACTGCCTTGAAGTTTGTCAAAACAGTCTACTGACTGAAGGTAAGGCTCTTAACCCAACATTCGATTTGGAAAAAAATCTTTTAATGTCATGTACTAACACAGTCTGAGAGCCAAAAGGTTATTTACTGCTGAGGATTTTACTAAATTCAGTTTGCTTTATGAATGTTGGATGCTTTAAATCCCCAAATTTTGGAGCTCTAAATTTAGATGTCAGCTTACATGTAGAAATTGACCAATTCAGGAAACTCTACTACTTTTAATTCCTGATTAAAAATTAATCACTTGTGATTACATGTTTCCATAAG